GGAGCCGGAGTCGTCCTGTGAGCGCCCTCACGTGGAGCCGGAGTCGTCCTGTGAGCGCCCTCATGTGGAGGCGGAGGCGTCCTGTGAGCGCCCTCACGTGGAGCCGGAGTCGTCCTGTGAGCGCCCTCACGTGGAGCCGGAGTCGTCCTGTGAGCGCCCTCACGTGGAGCCGGAGTCGTCCTGTGAGCGCCGTCCTGGAGCCGGGGAGCCGGAGTCGTCCTGTTAGCGCACTCACGTGGAGCCGGAGTCGTCCTGTGAGTGCCCTCAGGTGGAGGCGGAGTCGTCCTGTTAGCGCCCTCACGTGGAGCCGGAGTCGTCCTGTGAGCGCCGTCCTGGAGCCGGAGTCGTCCTGTGAGCGCCCTCACGTGGAGCCGGAGTCGTCCTGTGAGCGCCCTCACGTGGAGCCGGAGTCGTCCTGTGAGCGCCCTCACGTGGAGCCGGAGTCGTCCTGTGAGCGCCCTCACGTGGAGCCGGAGTCGTCCTGTGAGCGCCCTCACGTGGAGCCGGAGTCGTCCTGTGAGCGCCCTCACGTGGAGCCGGAGTCGTCCTGTGAGCGCCCTCACCTGGAGCCGGAGTCGTCCTGTGAGCGCCCTCACGTGGAGCCGGAGTCGTCCTGTGAGCGCCCTCATGTGGAGCCGGAGTCGTCCTGTGAGCGCCCTCACGTGGAGCCGGAGTCGTCCTGTGAGCGCCCTCACGTGGAGCCGGAGTCGTCCTTTGAGCGCCGTCCTGGAGCCGGGGAGCCGGAGTCGTCCTGTTAGAGCCCTCACGTGGAGCCGGAGTCGTCCTGTGAGCGCCCTCACGTGGAGCCGGAGTCGTCCTGTGAGCGCCCTCACGTGGAGCCGGAGTCGTCCTTTGAGCGCCGTCCTGGAGCCGGGGAGCCGGAGTCGTCCTGTTAGCGTCCTCATGTGGAGGCGGAGTCGTCCTGTGAGCGCCCTCACGTGGAGCCGGAGTCGTCCTGTGAGCGCCCTCACGTGGAGCCGGAGTCGTCCTGTGAGCGCCCTCACGTGGAGCCGGAGTCGTCCTTTGAGCGCCGTCCTAAAGCCGGAGTCGTCCTGTTAGCGCCCTCACGTGGAGCCGGAGTCGTCCTGTGAGCGCCCTCACGTGGAGCCGGAGTCGTCCTGTGAGCGCCCTCACGTGGAGCCGGAGTCGTCCTGTGAGCGCCCTCACGTGGAGCCGGAGTCGTCCTGTTAGCGCCCTCACGTGGAGCCGGAGTCGTCCTGTGAGCGCCCTCACGTGGAGCCGGAGTCGTCCTGTGAGCGCCCTCACGTGGAGCCGGAGTCGTCCTGTGAGCGCCCTCATGTGGAGGCGGAGGCGTCCTGTGAGCGCCCTCACGTGGAGCCGGAGTCGTCCTGTGAGCGCCCTCACGTGGAGCCGGAGTCGTCCTGTGAGCGCCCTCACGTGGAGCCGGAGTCGTCCTGTGAGCGCCGTCCTGGAGCCGGGGAGCCGGAGTCGTCCTGTTAGCGCCCTCACGTGGAGCCGGAGTCGTCCTGTGAGCGCCCTCAGGTGGAGGCGGAGTCGTCCTGTTAGCGCCCTCACGTGGAGCCGGAGTCGTCCTGTGAGCGCCGTCCTGTGGAACCGGAGTGGAACTGCAACCAGTGCAGGAGCCGGACGTTTACTGGGAGTGGACGTTCTCCCCTTATTAGACACTCTCTGCTATCGTTATATATCATTAACACACAGAAGCTCAAAGGTCTTCACCACAACCCGTCAAAATAAAGGTTTGCTTTAATAATACTAACACTAATAATATTATCAAAAAATTATTTTTTAAGGAATAATCCCACTTTTTCTTCCATGTGGGTAATTTGAACAGTATTTAAAGCTCAGTTGTGCCGCATGTGGTTTGACAAAAAAAGTTTAATTTCATATAAAAGATCAATTAAATTAATATTTTATGTCTTTATTTGATTACTAGAAAATTCACAACACAGAATTTGTGGAAAACAAAACATTTCATAGAATCTTTTTTTTTTTTTTTATAACTAAAATGGTTGTTTTTATTAATATTTAAGCATCACACACAATGGCAGACCGTCGCTCCAAGGCAGCTCTGGCATAAAGTCAATAACACTTCTATACAAGTGACTTTGTTTCTTTACAGTTATTGAGGTAAACATCCCTAAAGTATCGGAAAACGGTACCAGCACCGCATTTCAGGTACCAGTACTGGCTAAAATGTGAGCGGTACCAAAGCCCTCCTACAATGGACATAAACTGGACCTGCATCTGCAGTCCAGTGACTTTTGATTTGCCCTTTAATGATCCAAATCAAGCATATTACTGAGCAAAAATGACTTAAGATGAACTCACATTTGTATTTCTAAGTGTTGAACCGTCTCCTCTCGCCACTGCTGAAATATTACTAACATTCAGATTATATTTTAATTGAAAAGGCACCATTTCAGTTAGAAATAAAAACACTTGTCTCCTGAGGCCACAAGAGGGCGCAGAATATCACGGCACCGCAATTACACTGTTTATTCAAAGCTATTAAAGAACATGACTGTCTGTAAAAAAGATAAAGTGCATAACATTTAAACTAACGTTTCTGACTGAAACAGCATCATGTATTTATTTATTATTTATTTATTACTAAGAGCCGAAGCGGCAATCACACAGAGTGCTTTTTGCATGTTTTAAAAGCATGAGATGCAGTGAATGGAAAAAAACACAAAAGTCTAGATATGTTTTTCAAAAGTTGAACTTCTTTTAAATGTACATAGCTTTCTAAACTGTTGAGACGCGAGTGCAGCGGTCAAAGATGTGCAATCAACCACACACTGACTCTCGATGGACTGCCAAGTTCATCTGTCATGCAGTTGCAGTGTCCGACACACACGAGAGAGAAGTGCTCTTCGCTCCTCTCACTCCACTATAGTCAAAATAATCAGCATTGATTATAATTGTTTTGAGGGGACAGTTCTGGCACTGACTGTGAGATATGATGGTATTTTCTGAACTCCACTGCCAGTGATTGTGAAGCATTTTGTGGAAAACAGCAGAATTTTTGATAATAACACTGTTTATGTTTCATGAGGGAAACCCAAACCACATAAAAATAATTATTATTTATAATAAAACCTAACTTAGATTTTCACTGTAATGTGTTTCTCAACTCTAGACTGTTTTGAGTGGGCCAGAGTCTGTAGTCAAAGAAACAACAACAACAATGTAATGTTTTCCTGATGTGAGACTTGTATTTTGACAGGTGTGCGGTGAAAGCTGTTGACTCTTCTGTCAGATGCAGTGCAAGTAAAGGTGCCTGGAACCCTGAATATGCATTTACTCTGACTAGAGCTGGGCCATATATAGGCCATGAGACGGGACCCCAAATTTGGGCTACCGGTACCATTTTGAGGGATTAAATTTCTTTTTGATTTTCATGAAGGTACACATCTCTAGTGTTGGAAAATGTGTGATAGCATCCGATGCATGGTAGCTTTGATTAGAAATCAACACTTATATCATCCACTCAGTTCAGTGACTACAAGAGAGAAAAAATTATCCTTTTATAATTTTAAAAATGTATTAAAAAATATATAATTTTTTTATTATAAAAATTTATAAAATGTTATCCAATTTTTATAAAATGTAAAAATTATTTAAAGATAAATTAATTTATCCTTTTTCTTGACATATGTTTGAAAATCGTCCTCCGTAACCAAAAACTACCTTAAATCTAATGCTATATCACACATTTTTCCTACACAAAAATCACCATGCGGTTTAATCCCTCAAAATGGTACCAATCAACCCTCTGTCTCACGGCCTAATATAAAAAATTTGATATCTCGATATTGTAAAAATTTTACGATATTTGATATATATCTCGATATGTTTGCATTTGCTTTTTAAATAATAAAAAACATAATTTTGTTTTGCCCCCATTAAAAAACAACAAAAACAATATAGATAGAACAGCTATTGTTACAAAGTAAATACAAAATGTTTACTGCAAATTTAAGCAGTTCAAACAAATCTAGACCAAGTGATCATCTTTCACTTAAGATTTACATCTTACATCTTTTTATGTACATTATTAACAAGTAGTGCAAAACAAGTACAGGACATTCTGTCAACTTTTTACATTACTTTTTACTTTTTTATCATAATTGACACTGTGCAACTGGGTAAAATAATTAAACTGGGATAAGTTTTGCGCAGGTTGGGCTCGTGCATAGATCGGAAGTGGTCACGAAGAGCTGTTCGTTCGCCAACTTTAAGATACAGTTTCGTGAGCGCGTCCTGGGCAAGGTGTTTACGGCAAGGCCAACTGTGTGGAGGACCGATAGCCTTTAGCAGCCGCTTGAAGCCCGTTTCTCCACGGCACTGACAGGCATCATATCTCCGGCTATGTGAAACGTGATCGCCAATGTCTTACCACTTTTTACCATTTCTCGCATATAGCACACTGCAAGAGAATGAATTTGAGATATTCGATATTCACGATATTTTTAAAGGGGGGGTATAATGCCCTTTTCACAAGAAGTCTCTGATGTCCCCAGAGTGTGTGTGTGAAGTTTTAGCTCAAAATACCCCACAGATATTTTTATATAGCATGCTAAAATTGTCATTTTTTGAGGGCGAGCAATTTTTGTGTGTCCCTTTAAATGCAAATGAGCTGCTGCTCGATTTTTCTTTTATGCCAAAAATCATTAGGATATTAAGTAAAGATCATGTTCCATGAAGATATTTAGTAAATTTCCTACCGTAAATATATAAAACATTTATTTTTGTGGTCCAGGGTCACATACTGTATATTGTATTTAAAGGAGTCAAGCACTTTTCAAGAACCTCTTCATAAATATGACGGTTTTTAAGGACTTAGATTTCAAAAAGTCAAACACAAGTACTTTAAGCACCTTTTACGAACCCTGATAATCCCTACAAAGATGAGAATGTGTGTCTTTATGATGTATACATCTTAATTTCAGAATTGACCCTTGTGACTGGTCACATGTTGAAAACAGTATTGTCCCCTGGGCGTCCCCGGGTCTCACCTGACCACCGGCAGGGGAATGGCCTCCACGCTGGCCGGCACCTGCACACCCTTCTCCCACTCCTGCCTCCAGGGGTCCGACAGGAAGTAGAACTCCTCCGGGCTCAGCTGGGCCGAATCAGGCAACTTCATGGCGGTGATGAAATCGGTCCGAAACACCTGAAAGAACATTCGTCACGGTTGTTTTCTTCGGACATTTTCACCGGTGCTGATGCAAGACTGAGCCATTTTAAAAGCACTTAAACAATAAACTTCACTAACAATCTTCCAGACCTTTCACAAATGCTGTGAACACAGCAGATCTGAAGACCTTGATGTTAGGACAGAGGAATATTCATTACAGGGTCCGTACACCTTTTCCAAGGTCAAATTCAAGCACTTTCAAGGTCCATTTTAAAGCTTTTTCCAGCACCTTTCACCACCGTAAATTACATACCAATACATAGTCAAAATGATTATTTAGTGTTTTTATCACATTAAAAGAGATAATGCTATATACAGCCAAAATTGTGTTTCGTAATAGCAGAAGGATCAGACATTTAAGCAAAACACAGGTTTTATTTTTCAAAATGTACCACTGTCTAGTAGATTTTGCTTTAAGTTAATGCTACCCTTAATGTCAGTCTTTCCACACTTTTTCCAAATCTAGGGCATGCCGTACAAACTGGTTCAGTCACATTGGCATGTGTGTCTTCCACCCTATGAAGTTTGGGCGGCCTATGAATAATACTCTTCATTATATTAATGTCCAAATATTGCTTCCCAGATAATTTGATTTTCAGGCTGTGAAAATGGAGTAATTTCAAGGGCTGAAAATATGAAGACGTGGGATTTGAACAGTAATATTTTACAGGCCTTGGTTTTGGGCCACATTCTTGATATAGACGAGGTTTGAACTAAATCTGAGACTTTTTAACCCGGAAGACTCTGACAGCGCAAAGGCACCTGCCTGATAAATAGCTTATATTAATTAAAAAATAAAATAAAAATGCATTTCATTGCCAAGACATATACATTTATCCACTGGAATAGAGCAGTGTAACTATTGCATAAGGCCGTCCTCAGCTCACAGTAGGCTACTTGTAGGACACACTCCATCTGACACGATTTCTGTTCCGCAATCAACGATAGTTGTTATGCACTGGGCTAATGCTACTATAGCCCCTTCCACACAGAGATTCGGGAAAATACACGGATAAAGTGACCCGGGTTTGTTTGATTTTGGTTCATTCACACTGCCAGTGATTTTCCGGAATCAGAGAGTGCGTTCACACACAACCGTAAAAACCCTGTAAAGACACGTGACATCGATGTGACATGTAGTGTCTCAGCAGCGACTTGAGTTCGCTTATGAGCTGCGACTTCTCTCTAAACCACGCTTGTGCATTTTTCTCTCTGATTCGATCATAAACCGTTTCACTAGCGAACGATCCCAGCTTCAGCGTCATCATTACGACACGGCATTGATCACGGCTTTTGTTCACACCGGGACTGAACACGGCCATGTTATACTAGATCCCCAAGCCGGCATCAATCCCGGGCCGTGTTTGTGTTCACACAGAAGGTGTTCTGGCAATTTCCCGGGATCAACGCGCTGTGTGAAAGGAGCTTTAGTTACCGAACTAAACTGCCAGTGTGAAAGCATTCCTAGCTAGCAGTTACTAGCGTAAACAAATAGGCGCTAGCGTTTACAGTAGGCTACTTTAGTTGGCTTACTTAAAGTCTAGGGTGCTTTCACACTGGCAGTTTAGTTCGGAACGGGCCACGGTTCGCATGAAAAATCGCTATTGTGAACGCCGTCATGTGGACCCGGGTGTGCACTGGGGTCCCGAACCCGACACTACCTGGAGGAGGCGGTCTGACCGTGCCGCGGTTCGCGTGAATGTGAAGGCAACACGGACTCGGGTGCGCACTTGTTCAGGAAGTAAAGTGACCTGCGCATGCGTTTTAGCTGATTCTGATGTATTTAGTTAAATAAAACACTTGTAAGGGATGTAAGTCTCCTCAAGAGTGCGTTTGCAATCAGCAGAAAGCCAAACGCGACAGTAAACCTGTGTTGTTCACTCAGCTGCGCATAAAAGCACCAAATTAATAAAAAACACAATATATTGTCCCGTGTTTGGGCCGCAGCAAACGATTTATTTCTCCATATAATAAACGAACTATTCAACTATACGAACTATTTGTTGTGAAAGAAATAGTTACAATTTTGAAAACACCACATTTTCAAGGACTTCAAGCACCCGTACGAACCCTGTTATTAACACACAATCACACATTAAAAACCCCTACAAGTACATCAGATGTGCAATACTCTCACATAAATCAAACAACACCATATAGCTATTCTCAGCTGCTTGATTGTTTATATTATCATCGTATCGGCCAGCTCTAAACCGCTGAAAGTGGACCATTAGGCATAAGGATTTTACAAACATTAGCGTCACGAAACTGTATGCATATTAGCCATTTTTAAATCGAGTCTTAAAACTTTTTATTTCAGGATTGCTTTTAACTCTTATTTTGTTGTTTATTAATTCTTTTTTTGCTCTCTACTTTGTGTTTTAATTGATATTGTTGTGCTTGCTTGTGTTGTAAAGCGCTTTGAGAATGCCATTTTAAAGGCGCTAAACAAAATAAATGTATTATTATTAATATAAAATTACTTTACTTCACTGAAAATCTTGCCTTCCACCCAGTAGATGAATCTGTTGATTGTGTTTTTATATACAAATCTTTACATTTGGCTTATTTTTGTTGAAAGTTTAAATGTAATCAAAATGGACAACTCTTGTTTTTAGTGTTTTTAGAAAAGACGAATGCAACTTCCCTTTCCCGATGGCTTTAACCCCGCGTGACACAGTGTTGCTCACCTCAGAGGGCTTCTTCTGCTCATGGCGGACCCATGTGCTGCTGGTCCCCGTGTTCTTCGAAGACCGTGACCAGGTGGTCACATGACCTGCAGGAGATTGAAGCAGTGCATTTATTAAAGCAAGTATTGCATTGCATTATACGTTTTAAAACAGCAGAGCTTTGATCATAAAACTATTCAAATATCATCGTACCAAGACATAATACTGGCAGATATTGAGTAAACACTGTTATTTCAATGCCTTTTTTGCATTATGCAATGCATACTGTTATACAGATCTCGTTGATTTACATCACAAGCATCAGAATTTAATCTCACTTTCTGTCCATATATATATATATATATATATATATCAGCATCTGCACCATTCGAGTAATTGTCGATTATTAAAGAATAAACATTATTTACAGCCCTAATCATTAATGTAAGATACAGGTGAAACTCGAAAAATTAGAATATCATGCAAAAGTTCAGTAATTGAACTTAAAAGGTGAAACTAATATATTATATAGACTCATTACATGCAAAGTGAGATATTTCAAGCCGTTATTTGTTATAATTGTGATGATTATGGCTTACAGCTTATGAAAAAATTTTAAAAAAAAATTGAATATTGTGAAAAGGTTTTTATATCTGTAATCCTTTCAAGCCTTTAACAAATAAAGGCTTGAAATATCTCACTTTGCATGTAATGAGTCTATATAATATATTAGTTTATATTAGTTAGTCACCTTTTAAGTTGAATTACTGAAATAAATGAACTTTTGCACGATAATCTAATTTTTGAGTTTCACCTGTAATATTCAGGTTGTCTGGGTTTTAAAACACTATCAAAAGTACAAATATTATAATAGATTTTTTTGTGTGTGTGTATAACTATACTTGCATATGTGTATGTGTCTATATTATTTATACTATATTTACGTTATTGTAACTTTCTGTCAAGATGAACCAAATAAAAAGTCTAAATATTATTACGCATATACTATTCCTGTGCAACATTTGATAGCAAAGCCTTAACGTTATGTAGACAGTGCAAGATCAATGTGAATTAATGTACACTTTAAGTGTCATGAACTAAAACGACACACTCGAGTCACGAAACGTTCACTTATTCAGCTGAACAACTCCGGCTCAGATCACATCGGCCGAGACTGATCTCCGATGAACACACACACACACACACTCTCTCCACGTAGATAACGCTGTGGCCGAGGAGAGCCATGTGCTTTCCTCCATCTGTGTTGATCACTCACTGTCAGTGGTGTCCGAGTCGTTGCTGCTGGTGGAGTACTTCCTCCTCTTCATCTCACTCCCCATCTGTCAGGGAGGAAGAACAGTATCAGACCCTGTGAAGATGACAGACACGTGTGTGTGTGTGTGTGTGTGTGTGTGTGTGTGTGTGTGTGTGTGTGTGTGTGTGTGTGTGTGTGTGTGTGTGTGTGAGGAAACACTTCACTGGCTGTTGGCAGATTAATGTGGCCGTGAAACAGGGCTTTTCCCTTCTTGTTCTCGATCATCACTATACAAGAGACTGAGAATCCCACTCGCTCGCTAGGGCTGCATGATTCAGGGGCAAATCTAAATACATTTAAATATTAGGGATGTACGATATATCGGCTACTATATGATCAGTATGATATACACTCACCTAAAGGATTATTAGGAACACCTGTTAAATTGATCATTAATGCAATTATCTAAGCATTTGTGAAGCCGCAACACGCACAACCTTGAGGCGGATGGGCTACAACAGCAGAAGACTCCACCGGGTACCACTCATCTCCACTACAAATAGGAAAAAGAGGCTACAATTTGCAAGAGCTCACCAAAATTGGACAGTTGAAGACTGGAAAAATGTTGCCTGGTCTGATGAGTCTCGATTTCTGTTGAGACATTCAGATGTTAGAGTCAGAATTTGGCGTAAACAGAATGAGAACATGGATCCATCATGCCTTGTTACCACTGTGCAGGCTGGTGGTGGTGGTGTAATGGTGTGGGGGATGTTTTCTTGGCACACTTTAGGCCCCTTAGTGCCAATTGGGCATCGTTTAAATGCCACGGCCTACCTGAGCATTGTTTCTGACCATGTCCATCCCTTTATGGCCACCATGTACCCATCCTCTGATGGCTACTTCCAGCAGGATAATGCACCATGTCACAAAGCTCCAATCATTTCAAATTGGTTTCTTGAACATGACTATGAGTTCACTGTACTAAAATGGCCCCCACAGTCACCAGATCTCAACCCAATAGAGCATCTTTGGGATGTGGTGGAACGGGAGCTTCGTGCCCTGGATGTGCATCCCACAAATCTCCATCAACTGCAAGATGCTATCCTATCAATATGGGCCAACATTTCTAAAGAATGCTTTCAGCACCTTGTTGAATCAATGCCACGTAGAATTAAGGCAGTTCTGAAGGCGAAAGTGGGTCAAACACAGTATTAGTATGGTGTTCCTAATAATCATTTAGGTGAGTGTATGATAATTATGTTATTGTTATCAACCCGATAAGAAGAACATTTGTCTGATATACTAAAGCTGATAAATACTGTATTATCTCCTTCAGATGCGCACTGTTCAACATGATGCTTTTGAACTGCTTGAAATATGATTGGAATCACTTCAAAAAAGGAAATTACAGTAAAGTAGTGCAATGTGAAGCACAAGCACTTTTGTTTTTGTAATCAGGCTCTCAAATTATATAAAAATTTGGATTTATATGCTATTTATCAGCCAATATATCGGTTATTATCGGCTTTCAAATATAAAGAATTATCGGTATAGGCCAAGATTTTCATTTCGGTGCATCCGTGTAAAATTTAAAATGTATTTTAAATTGCGATTTAACAATTGGTTTTAACTAAATTCCAGGTTCCACAATTTGGCCAAAATTTTGTGATTATGCATCAATATAGCTTTAAAAAAATAATAATATTAATAATTATGATTATTACTAAATAAAAAAAAAAAGATCATGAAACTTATAAAATTATTAAACTTATTCAACATTTAAAAAAACATTCTATGAAATGTTTGTTTTTTTTCACACAAATTCGGTGTTGTGTTTTTTCTAGTAATCAAATAAAGAAATAAAACATTAATGTAATATATTTTATCATGAAATTAAACAATTTTTTGTCAAACAACGTGCTGCACAATTTTCCTTACCCGATGTATGCATGCATGTGTACGTGTGTGTGCGTGTATGAAAGAAAGTCTCCTGAGTGAAAACTGTGCAACCCAGTGCCACAAAAAAGACTTGTAGCATTATGTTCTTTCGCTTGTGATTTTTCTCATTTTTCTAAATTAAAATCAGTCAATTTATTCCCTTTTTTATATTTGTTTACAAACTCACCACACACAGTAATGGCCAATAACTGTAATTTATTGAAAGCAATTTTTTTCTGCAAAAGATGACACCTTGCTCTTCAAGATAGCACACTGTTTTAGAATTTTACAGTCTAAAAAAACTAAATATGTGAACAAGGGTTCTAAAGGGTCAACAAGACACAGGTGAAACCAATGAGGGGAACCAAAAGAACTACAAATCTAGACTCAGGAAACAGGAAACCAGAAATCCAAACAAACAGAGAACACGTGACAGGATGGAAGCATGCAGGGCTGGGCTAGGATGGGTACAGCTCTGCGGCATGAGCTGAGAGTGTGTGTGTGTGTGTGTGTGTAGAGAGAGCTGGATGTGTCCAGAGAGAAAGTGAGCGTGAACAGGAGTATTCTGGGTGAGAGAGAATAGACTGCAGTCCCCCAGGGAGAGAGAGATATCTTCAGCTGTTCTCCTGCACAGCACAGCCAATGCTGCTATTTATAGGAATATATAAAGAGGCACTGTCAGACCAGAGGAGTACACAAACACACACACACACACACACAGAATCAGACCACTGATGTTACCACGGCCCTGTTTACACCTGTAACTTATGGAGACCGATTGTGAGTGAGACTCACAAACAAAAAGAGAGAGTGTGAACAGTTTTGTTTTATTACAATGTTTTAAAAATTGTTGTAATTAAAAAAAATTGGTTGAATGAAACAGTCAAAGCCAAAATAAAAGTTCAGTTTCACTTGTTCATATATTACTATTGAACAACAGAATGTAAAAAGCAACCTCAAAGCAATAATTATAATAATAAAATTGTTAAAACATTATTTTTTTTAAGCAATGACCATTTTTCCCATGTTTTAACTTAAACAGCAAACCTATGTGTTTGCCCAAAAATAAAAGGAATTGCAGTCAAGACCTGCCTGGAACTACTTTAGCCGTGTGTTTCCCTAAAAAATAATTGCATACCTTAGAACGTTTGTCAACCAATCAGAATCAAGCATTCGACAGCCCCTATATTAGGCTGCTGTCACTTTAAGACGAATGCATAGATCCAATATAATGATACGCATCTGTTTTCTTTCTCAATAGTTTACAATTCTCAAACGACTGTGTTTATCAGGAAACTGGCAGAGACGGGCATTTTGACTTAAAGGTGCAGTCTGTAAAATTGAGCTAGTGGTGTAAAGAGGTACTGCAGTCCAATTAAAAGTATCGGAGATCGTGGTTTCTCCCGCCTCCTCGGACTCGGCGCTCACGCGGGTCGCCAGTTTGAGACACACAACAGGAACGAGAGCAATGCACAATGAAAATTGGCAAGTGCAGTGTCACAGACCAAAACAATAACAAACATTCCAGCTTGGAATTTCAGAGTAAAAAAATTAGGGATGCACGATATTGGATTTTGGCCGATATTCGATATGCCGATATTTTCAAACTAATTTTGCCCGATGCCGATACCGATATATTTGTTTGTTTTTTTTAAGTGCAAAAAAAACTTATTAACCTCTTAACCGTTGGCAGAGCGCCGGCGCACAGAAGCGTTTTTATTTTTTTATTTTAAATAGTTCAAAGTTACTATCATATTTAAAGGTCCCGTTCTTCGTGATCCCATGTTTCAAACTTTAGTTAGTGTGTAATGTTGTTGTTAGAGTATAAATAATATCTGTAAAATTATAAAGCTCAAAGTTCAATGCCAAGCGAGATATTTTATTTAACAGAAATCGCCTACATCGAACGGCCCGTTTGGACTACATCCCTCTACTTCCTTCTTTAATGACGTCAGTAGAACAGTTTTTTGACTAACGTCCGCCCACAGGAATGCTCCCTCAACTTGCGCACTTCTTATAACTTACTGTGTTTACTCAGCTCTTACGGTGATTTTCTGAAGTAAAACTGACACTTCATCTTTTGTGTGATGTACAATTAGGGCTGGGTATCGTAACAAAATGTTCGGTACCGATACCGATACCGATACCTTGACTTCGATACCGGTTCCTGAACGATACTTTTTTCGATACCAATTTTATGTAACCAGGTTTAACAATATAACATTACCTAATTTTTTTTTCAGTTTGTTGACTTTTTTACACTCATATTTTGAGTATGTAAAAAAGCACCAATGCTAAAGTTTTCTGTTTCCTAATCATTTAACAACATGTATTCTTTACTTCAATGAGCTCATTGTTTCTGCTTTAACTTAATGCATTAATTAACGATGAAACTGAATGAAAATTAATTGAAATGCATTACACTGTCACCTCTGATAACAGATCACTCTAAATTGTAATTTAGACATGCATTTTCTGTAAAGCTGCTTTGAAACGATATGTATTGTGAAAAATGCTATACAAATAAATGTGAATTAAATTAAATATAGGCTACTGGGGGGCGGGATATATACCTGCACGTGAAGCTTGCAGCAAAGCACTGGCAAAAGTAGCCTAATGATTATGGATGTGGAAACAGTAGCAAGGAGATATTTTAATTATTTATTAATGAACAAGTGTTTACTAATGGTGTGTTCACACCGAACGCGAATTTAATTATTTGTGCGAGTAGATTACATACAAAGTCAATGCAAAGACGCGAATAGACGCATCATTCGCGCCGGGCGTTGCAAATGACGCGAATTGGGCGACGCGTTTGCCGCGAACGTCTTCCGCGCAAGTTGAAAAATTTGAACTCGAGCTGAAGATTCAAGCGTCGAACTAGACGCGATAGACGCGTATTTGACGCTCTATTCGCGTTCGATGTGAACACCATTACTCTCAAGTGTATTTTGTGCGCTTCAGTGCCTAGATTTACCGTGTTGCCGGTCTTGGCAGCAATGATCTTGTCGAAAATATTGCATCGCGTGCATCTGGCATCGAGTCTGGCACATGACATAGGTACACTTTGGATCATTTCCACATATTTTCTATCTATCTGGGTTGGGACGCACGCTTACACACACACACACACACACACACACTGCA